GTATGCAAAGCGCAGAAAATTAGAGGTAAAGTCTTGTGGCCAAGCAGTTTTTAATGTAATTATAGTGCATTACTTTAAAAAAACGCATATACAATTCAGATAATAAACGAAGCTCTGAGAACTCCGTGGAAAACATTAAGCAGCCTGACGAGGACGAAAATACATCAAAAACATGTTCGTTTTTTTTGGGTGGACAACTGGACTCAAGAGATAAATGTAACATAAGTGACAATGGAACACAAACTGACAAAGTGGTAAGGGAAAGCAATGCAGTTTAGTTTTGTGCAAAAGCCTAAACTGTTGCTTGATGATGTAGAAACGCAGACATGTAGTGTCAATCTGATATAAAAATCCCAGTCGAAGCAAAAGCAAACGCACTCAAACGAATGCACAAGTGACGTCTCAAGGTTAATTTTTTACATGAACTCAGCGCAAAATAAACATTTTGAAAAGTGTTTCCTTAATTATGTTATTCCGTTGCACAGGGACAGAAACCGAAATTATCACGACAAATGCAAGAAGCACTCAAACGGAAGGTAGTTTATCCGTAGATGAAAACGACAATGATGATGATTTCCTATCAGATGCTGAAATAAGCACTTCGGAAAACAGCAGTACCGCAGATGAATATCTTAGTTTCAGCAATTTGAATCGTCAGATGATGAAGCATCAATTGCCGAGTAAGTTAGTCTGCATCATTTTGAAATAAGATAACCCAAAACATAAGTTCATTTCAAGTATTTTACAGAGCAAGATAACATTCATATAAAAATAAGTAATTTTCCATGTTATAGGAAAATGATGTTTACTCAAAAAATATATAGTTTTGACAGCTGTCTAAGAAAGTTGTTCTCTCAGTGTCGACACTGTGGTGGTCACTGCAAAGATATCAACCAGAAGCATTGGAAGCATGGTGAACATCATCGCTAAATGCTCATGTGGCTTCTTAATAATGGAATAGTCACACGCTTGGCATTTTGTGCGCAAAATTAGAGAATTAGAATGTGCCAAATTTTATGGCCGGCGCGCGACATTTTCGAAGCTTGGTAACGAATTTATCGAACAGCAAATTCCTTATTTTTGCGACGATTTTCCAGCAAAACGTTTTCCTTGAGCTACTTGGGAACACAAGTGTGTTATAGAAGATAACTAGAGGATCATTTTGATGTCTCAATTGCTATGGTTACACATATAGTTTTCAACAGACGAGCTTGTTGTTCGAGGGTTTTGGCGAAATGGCGTCGGTTGGTTTGATAATTTACTCTAACTTCGGCTTGTATAGGTTTCTTTATCCGATCATTCTTTTGTTTAAATTTTGGATATTTGGTAAGATAAATAATCTTCTTACAATCGTATGTTTTTTGTTTTGAAGAAAATGGGATAATTTAGCGTCAATCATGCCGTTCCGCAAGGCAACGAATTACAAACGATTCAATGTTGGGGAATACATGCGCAACGAAAGATTGGCATGGGAAGGAAATATGAGCAAGCAAAAGAAAGCAAAATGTGTGTCTCAGAAGCTTAAACGTCTTGATGATAAGTTAAAAAATGTTTAGTAGTTTTATTTGAAATGATCTTTGCTTACTCGATCTTGTCTTATGTCAATAAGTCAATAACATATGCAATACTTTGACATGTGTCGAATTTTGTAATGATAGGCTTATTTTTAATGAAAGATTGTTTTATACAGAATCGACATATTTAGCGCCAAGGCGTACTATTTCAGTTTAATTGTTTTTAGTGTGAACTGTTTGTGCTTGTATTTTATATCAGAATATGTATGCCATTTTGTGCTAGAACTGTATTCATAAATTTTACAGGTAAAGAAATTGGTGAATGAAGTAGAAGAATTAGATAGCATCAGGACAGAGTTCATTGAAGGTGGAAGTAGGCAGGAGGAACAAGAGGAGAAAGGTTTAGCATAGGCAGGAAGGCAGTTGTTAGGCGAAGAAACAAACCAACTGGGCAAGGTTGTGTGAAGTCCACTTGTCGAACACGCAGGATGGAGACAATGTTGGCGGCTAATGCCATTCATGTTGAGTAAGGATGATAAAAACCTGGTACCATTGGAATGTTGGAGACATTAGAAAAAGGAGCAAAGTGGGTGATATAGTAAAAGGATTAGAAAAGTGCAGTAAGTTTAAGAGCAAGGTTTTCCAAAATTTACAAAGAAGATTTGAAGAGGTTCGAAAGATCAGATGAGAATATGTTAAGATCGATTGCTGTATTATAGCAAAGGAGATATGGGCAAAGTATAGAAGAGTTTATAAGTCTAGCTCATATGAGCAGATATGTGGTAGTAAGAGGGCTAAGCATGTTAGTGTTGCTGAATGTCTCACCCCTCGGCTGGTTCCCTATGATAGATTAATGCAATACATTAAATCTATTGATATTGGTAAGTTATTTAGTGTTCGTGAACATCTGTGCAATGGGTTGGATGAGTGTGAGAAGGTCAATGGTTTTTTACAGAGATATAGAAGATATTCTTGTTAAGCTTGCAGAATTTTATTTGAACATTGGTAAGTATAAACTTTTCAACTTTAATCAGCCAAACTCATTTCATGTTGCTATTGGTGGAGATGGGGCCCCTTTTGGAAGAGATGATTCAGCATGCTCTTGGCTGGTAAGTTTTCTAAACATTGGACATGGCGTGTTGAGCCGCAATGAAAATTTCCTGCTCTTTAGGGCTAATTGTTCAGAGAACTGTCTCCCTGTAATTGCTTATAGCAATCATTCTACAAAAAAAACAGTTATTTAACAATTGCTTTTTGATTTGGCATTTGTTTTTTTTGTGCTTTGTTACAAAGCAAAGTAATTTTATGTACAAGCTGAATAAAGACAAAGATTTTTAAAATTAGTTTTTTGTTTGGATAAGTTGTAATATTGTAATTGTGTATATACAATGTAACAAAACTATTTAGTCTTTTATCACATTAGGACAAGTATAATCTGTGCAACTTAATCTTACCAGATTATGTACATGTTAGAGCATGCAAGATTTACATGTACCTACAATCAAATTTGCATATATTATACTTATCTGAATTTTACATTGACTGATATTTGTGTAGTTTAACTAATTTTTTAAACCTTTGTCAACTTTAATAAAAAGAAGCCAAGAGGGTGGTGTCGTCATTGAAAAATTTACTGTCTAGTATTCGCAGGCAATGTGCTAGTTTGCCTATTTTTTGTTTTAAAGCAGGCAATGCAACAATTACCAAGAGCTAATAAATAAAGCAGTTGTTAGTCAGGTTTCAACTTTTTCATTTCAAATAAATTTAAAAGGTATTTGTAGATCTCTTTGTTTTAGAGGGACATGAATTAGGTTGAATTTTTCATATTTTTCTTAATTTTTGAATGAGTTGCTTCTTTTGCTGTTTGGCAAATTTTATGTTTGTTTGTCTTTATGTACAAAATAAGAAACTGGAAGGCTCATCATTGAATAAACAAAGTCTTTCACCTCGGTTACAATAACTGCTGCCGTCTGCCTTGCGACGTCAGCTAAAACTTCGCCTTAGGTAAGCAGCAACATCTTCCTTGGACAAGCCAGACAACAAAACAAGCAACTCATTCAAAAGGTGCATGGAGGTGAAGGGTATCACCTCAGCCTTCTTTTTTCAACCTGGTAACAGAAAGAGCCACAAAACTGTCCAAAGTGCGAACAGTACGCATCATGGTAGCAAAAAGCATGCGGAGTAACCCTCGTAATTTCCCCATAATATGGGTTTCTGATGCTTTTGCCGCAAAATCGTCGACGAATCCCCATTAGCCAAATTCGTGACTCCTCCTTTAAGAGCAGCTGGATTGATAGAAAGTCCCATCAATCTCAGCGAACTATTGTTGTGTCGAAGTCGACCTCTGCAAGTTGAAGCGTAGCTTGCACTTTCAACACCTGCTGAGACAATTTTACATTTTCGCATTGCATGCCACTTACTAATGCGAAAATTGCCTCTTCAACTTTGTTAAAGAGAAGGTGGCTGTTGAACGGCGCTGTTGTATATGTCTTCTTGATGTAATTTTCTTCTGCTGAAAATCGCACATTAGAAACAGCCGCCATCTTCATTAATAATTACTTTAATCAAGTATTTTGTGCAAAAACCGCTGGACACAATGACTTACAAACTAGCGTTTTGGCATGCAAAAATGGCAGGCGTGCAACCTACTCATAGTCAGATGCCATTGGGTAATCTCTTGCTATCTGCCAGTATTCTATTTAGTGGTAACAGCCCATCCAAAATCCTGCAATATTTTCAACAAGCAAATGTACAGGTCATTACTGAAAGGTGCTACAACTATATACAAAGTGGATATCTTATTCCAAGTGTTTTGAATGTTTGGAAAAAGCACCATACTATTATGATGACAGAGCGTCAGGGAAAGCAGGTTGTTATTGGGGGTGATGGACGATGTGATTCACCAGGCTATTGTGCAAAATATTGCTCATAAAGCTGCATGGATTTAGAAAGCAATTAAATTCTAGACACACAATTAGTTCAGGTAACTAGCTCAATTCATTAGTTTATAGTATTGTATTCAAAACAGTATTGTATGCAAACACATTTTAGGAAATGTATAATATGTACTTATACAACATGAATACAATGTGTGTAACTAAATCATATGATATACACCAACATACATGCATACTTGCAGACATACATATCCCAAACACTGTATGATTTTACTTACATTAATATATCTATTACAGTCAAATGAAGTTGCAAATTCAGGGGCAATGGAATTGGAAGGACTGAAAAGATCTTTTAACCTTATTCAGTCACACAATCTTCAAGTGAGTCATCTAATCACAGACAGGCATTGCCAAGTTAAAAAACATGAAAACCCAACAGCCAGGTGAAGCACTATTTTGATGTTTGGCATGTGGCAAAAGGTAAAATTAAGGCTAACAAAAGCTGTTCAAAGTACAGCAATGGGTCTTAAAATAAAGTACTTCCTGATTTGATCAAAGAGTATCTTTATAATCATAAATTACCAAGTGATTAAGAGGTTTTAGAATTTTTCTAATTGCATTTAATTTCATGATATTTTGATCAATTATTGCTATGTTTTGCATTACAATTTTTTAACCAATGTACAGTGTCTATTTTTTTCTACAGGTATCAAAAAAAAGGTAATGGCAGCCGGTAAGAAGAGTGGATGTAGATTGCTACTTGATTGGGCACAGTCAATATCTAACCATGTCTACTGGTGTGCTGCAAGTAGTGGTGGTGATGAGAAACTACTTAAGGCTAAATGGCTATCATTGCTGAATCACATTTGCAACATTCATGATGGTCATAGCGAATTATTTCCAAAATGTGAGCATGGTACTCTTGAGCCTCGGTTATGGATAAAGAAAGGTACAAATTAATCCTAAATGCTCTGGTATAAGACATAATAGTTATTTACAGTAATTGATACTTTCTTTATCAACAAACTTCAATTGCCAGCCAATGCCACAATGTGGTGTTATTTGTCAACATATGACATAATTGGGCACCATAAAATTTTCTATCTTTTTTCCAAGGATCTAGAGCATTTACTGAATTGGCATCGATTGTTGAAAGCAGGTATCTCATGAAAGATATTGGGAAGCTCAGCAATGAGAAACAAACATCAGCTCTTGAAGGTTTTCATCGAGTTGTTATACTATATGCACCAAAGCATACACATTTCTTTACAAGGCAATGCAAGCTAGGTAAACAAAACAATAAACAATGTTGTTTTCATACTGAAAATGATTGCAAGGTGGCACACTAAAAGTAAAATTAAATTTTTAGATTACTGATTGCTGCTCTCCATTTCAATGAAAATGGAAGTAAAGAACAAAGGCATACAAAAGAAAATGGGAATTAATGTGGAAGTGTCTCACCCCAAATCAAGACAGTCATGTGGAGTCATCAAAGGATAGTACTTATGGTAAGGACAAGTTTTAGCACTCAAAAGCCAAATAATTGTTCTACTGATGGTACATTTCTTGCACTTCTCAGTTTAATTCTTCTCCCCCTGTTTTACAGACTATGTGAAACAACTAATGGAGGAAGTGATAAGGTGCAGACATGCTAATTCCAGTTTAAACCAAGCAATTGCAACAGAAAGACAACAAAAAATACCAGATCCACTGACTAGTAGAGTTGAAAAAGTTGATAAAGTAACAGCAGTGCAACAACATATTCGATTCAATCTTAACTAAACTGAAGTCTAACACTCACAGGTATTTATAAATGCTGTGCATATTCAAAGCCTTTATATATGCCAGAAGGTGAAGGAAATGCTTTCCTTATTTCTTTAGCACTGGATGGTATAGTCGATGCCAAGCTTTCCATGTATCCATGCTGTCCATTGCCTATAGGCAGTGGAAATAAATCATAAGTTATCGATGTATGAGGAGATATCAAGCTCTGAAGCGTTGGTGGGCGTCATACATATTTCTTTGTTCTTCGTCAATTCTTCTGATATCAATTTTGGGTCTGTCTTCGGTTCCTCATGGCAACAAATGCTTTCCCGGACGGTTGTCATCGCCACACAGTGTCCACACTTACACCTGCCATTAAAATGAAGAAAAGAATTTTATGACGCGATCTGAAATGTTAATCATGAAAAAAAGCAACGCACCAGTTTGTATTTCCAATCCTGTGAGTATATTCGTCAGATGAGCTGTCCGTTGACGACGACAAGACAGATCTTCGTCAGTTTCAACATTATTGCTACTAGCGGGTCAAACATGTAGGCTGGACCTCCGTAGCAATATATTCGATGTCAAATTCGACTTCTTCCTCCGTTGAAGACATCGAGATAAACACGCATTAATAGTAGCAGCAACAACAAAAGAAAATTGGCGAAATTTAATTTTTACTGCTACTGGCTGCACTGAGCAAAACATGCAATGGCAACTATTACGTCAAACTCGCCCCAGCTTGGGTAATTCAAATTCGCTCGCGCTATTTGAATTCGGCCTTCGGAAATCGTTAATGTCATGAATTCAGAAGACCATATCTCATAAAATATAAAACATTGGACTTTCAAATTTGGCGAATAGGCTAATCATTAGCTAAGCTTTCATATGAAGCAAAGTTATATCAAGCATTTCAGGTGACCTTTAAATTTTTGTCTAACTGTGATTGGTTTGACCGATTTCGACTGATAGCCAACTGAACTAACATAGTCAAGCTCACTGTCTGAATTGAATGTTTGATCGTTTCATAGTAATTTTTATAAGCATGATAGAAACTAAACTACAATCAGATGTAATTTATGGAAATCTTTTACAAATTCATATAAAGACGATCTCGCGAGCGACATTTCAGTCATTGATGTTCAAAAGCAAGCCAACATTGTTTTGAGTTTTATCAGCAGAAATATACATCCAAAATCGTAAGTAAAGGACAACTGAAGTGTATGCATGAATGGAATATATCAAAGTCAATTTATGCAAGTGTGTGATGCGATTTATGTTAATATGGTAAGCAGATTGATGCTTCTAAAATTGTTGTTGCCGAAGGACTTTTAGCTATGATTTCTTTAGTGCTTAGGGAATCGTGACCGTATATGGCAGCAAAATCCTACATTCCTGCAAATATATTTCAATGGACAAAAAATCCACAAGGTATACTGTTATTTACTTTATCATAAACAAATGTTTGGGGCTTTTCAGTTTATGATCAGTGATCATTCAATCATTAGACAGTTATACTACTAGGCCGTATTCTGTATCAAGAAAATGTGCTAAAAATGATTTATAAATACCGAAATTCATGACTACATAAAATCACAGAAAACTACTTATTTTACTGACTGAATATGATTTAAGTTGTTTGCATCTCTTGAAATTGCAATCTTTGGTGTTTCAGCACTCCAAAGTTTCATAATATTCGTTTAAAATTTTACCTGTCGCCATCTTGTTTCATTTGTGAAACTGCTGACAATATAGCAAAAATTGCGGGTGCACTGTTACATGATAGCAACTATTATCATGTAATATCATTTATCATGTAATATCATTTATTATTATATTATATTATATTACTAAGCATTCCATATTTTTATTTTAAGATATTTAACACATTATAGCAAAATGTTGTTACATGATAGCTCTACTATCATGTAATATCATTTATAAACTATTATTATATTATATTATATTACTAAGCATTCCATATTTTGTATTTTAACATATTTAACACATTAAATAAAAACACATATTTAACACATATAAAACACATATTAACACGTTTAACACATTACATATTTTAACATTTTTAACATTTTTTTTAACATTAAAATCCATTTTGCAATGTCATTACTAATTAGGACATTATCTAGAAGCTTGCATGCGCTAGAAGCTTACATGTAAACATATTTTAGAACCGCAACCGCATTTGTTGTTATTGTAGTTAACTATATCTTGCTGTAACATACTGTATAGCGTATGGGATGTAGGTCACAAAACCACAATACTTCCCATTAGATATTATATATATATGAGTATTTTACACCACTGAGTACAACCTACGAGGACAACCTACGAGCACAAGCTACGAGGAGACAAACTTAGGAGGCATAGCCTACCAGAAGTAGGTTGACAAGCTACAATCTACCAGACAACTATCTTGGCTTTTGTGCCATAACTATCTTTTGGCTTTTGTGCCTTTAATCAATTTGAAAACTATTGTGAGTCATTGTTGGACTCACGAACGCTCAAGAATAAAGACTCACGGTTGTACTCAGACAGAGGAGATAAGTTTTACTCTTATTGATATTATTATTAAGACACTTATCTACTTTAATATTTACGCGTTAATTAATAAATTGTTTGATAAATGTACACTGGTTCACACTATTTTTGTTGCGTGTGGAAATAGAACTAAAATTAATAGTTATTCTTTCGGGACCACGCACGTAACTTGCACAATGATCAAAACAACAAAAAGGTGAGCTTGCGGGGATGTGTAATCCATTTTAAAGGTGAAAATGGGCCATTGACTGATTTTACCGAGACATCTTTGAAAAAAGTTTTAAATTGGCATGAGCTTTGGTTACTATACAATGGTGAGCAGAATGACATCGCTGAAAAGAACAAAAATTTGATGAAAACAATTCAGTCCATGAAAAGTCCTTTGGCTGAGTACCGTGGAGTTAAAGTACAATAGAAATTGCTATGCAAAGTTCACCAGTGTCGGCCCGATTAGACGGGCTGAAAAAGAATGAGCAAAAGTTTGAAGCTTCAGCAGCCACTGTCAATGAAAACTATATACAAGAAAATAAGTCGACAGATGTAAATGAGACTCACACGAAACTGCTACGATCATCCTCGTTTGTCATGACAGTTCTAAACCTCCGATCAGAACTAAAGCAGTTTTACCATCAATATGCATAATATGCAAGCAAGAAAAGTCCTTCGTCACTCAATCGGTATATAATGTAACAAATAAACCAACATTTGGTATTCCAATACCTGTTTTGTAACAGCGTAATGTTCTGTACTTAATCTACCTACAATATGATTTTACTTTGTTGTCTTACTGATGGTGAGGAATGTGCAATTACAATTTTTCTTTCAGGAAACTAGAAAACGAGTTCTAGACAAACTAGTTACCGCAGAAACGAAAGATGGCGGAAAACTACGTGAAGCTGCAACAAAGAGAGGACCGCAGAAACGAAAGATGGCGGAAACTACGTGAAGCTGCAACAAGGAAAGAGGACCGAAGAATACTGGTCCACATATTAGACAAGGAATGTAATGCACTGGAAGTAAAGTATCATAGTAAATGCTACAAAAGCTACACGTCATTTCTTTATAATACTACCTGTGCAAAAAGTTAAATGAATGTAGTTCTGGTCGCAAATACATATGAAGAGTCATTCGTAGATTTTGCAAATTTATCAAGAAAGCAATCATAGAAAATCATGGAATCTATTACACGAATGTTCTTAAAGATAAGTTTGCAATCGCACATTAATGTTCAACCTTCTGTTAGCCATGGATGGCACATGAAAAATGGTCAGTTAGAGATTCTTTGAATGACAGGACCTTCTGCTCCAGATACACTTATTGAGTGCGTGACATGCAAGTGTAAAGCTGGTTGCAACTTGGAAGAATCTTCGATGCTCGTGTGAAGTCTGGTTTGCAATGTACTGACATTTGCGTTGTTCTGACTGCAGTAACTACGCCTCTGAAGATGACGTCCCAATAAAAAGCCGGATGAGTGTGATGATAGCGATTACGATGATACCGACGATACACATGAAAACTTCATAAACGATTTCAATGAAATGTTCTATTAAGAATGCACTGCTCAGCAGTGCAACAGGGAGCTAGATGGTGACCAGGCTTCTGAGAACGCAACTCTCATGTGCCAATTTATTATCGTTATATTATTTACACAAAAGATGGACTCTTTCGCAATTCAATTTCAAGAATTGTTTTTCATTTTAGTCTTTTTCCATCAAAACAGCTATGGAAGATTAATAGCTAAACATATCATTTCAAATTAACTTAGATAGATTGATCCTTAATCATTATTTAGCACCGTTTTTTGACTATGAGCAAATTCAGCGAATTTCACACAAAACAATATGTGGATATAGAAAATAAATGTCGAATTTTTGATGGCTCTAGCTCTCTTGATTGCAAGTTTTCGGGGTGTAAACAGGCAGATTTATATTAAGTGAGTACATATTAGTACATCTATGTTGTTTTACTTAGTCATGAATTTCTGCAACTCAACCTGAACAATCCATAGAATACGGCCTAGATTGCAGGTTGGAATTTACGAACATATTCCACATATTCCGAGCATATTCATGGCATATTCGGCAAGATTCGAGACGCTTTGGTGATTTTACAGTTCAGAGTTTAACTGGATGATAATACTATTTTAACAAGACGTTTAATTTGAAGTTTTGTTCTGTTAACACAAATTTTGACAAAAATTACAAAATTCATTCAATTTTTGATCGAATTTTGCTGTATTTGAGCAAAATTTTAATCATGAAAAGTCAATCCTGGAAAAACAAAGTGGTAAAATTCTGACCGTGGCTCAGCCACTTTCGCGCCTAGATCCGCCCTGGGATTAAAGTAATATTTGGTCACGACTACTCCAAAACAAGTCATTTACTTCACTTGATTCACTAAATTTTGAAAAATTAAAGCGATGAGCAACTAGAACAAATTTTCAAGAAAAATACCAGCACTGCGTCACTGCATAATTAATTTGGTACTAACAACCAAACACAGTTTACTACTTTTAAACAATTTAGTAAAAAGTGAATTGTATTAGTAATTTTTGTTCTCTAGATTTTGGATGTATTTAAAATTCTACCGCGTAGTTTTTATCTACAGGCCTTTGTTTAGCAATGACTTGAAATTCTCAACTTAATTATATAAGATCATATTACGCGCATTCGTGTCATCCGACTTTGTCGATAATTTTCTACAACTTATTTTTTTGTGCCACCTCCAGATTTTAGATATGTTATAGACAATAAGAATATCTACAATATGGCCAAGTTTAAAAAAATTCTACCGTGTGGTTTTTTATTTACAGGCTTTTGTTTAGCAATGACTTGAAATTCTCAACTTAATTATATAAGATTATATTACGCGGATTTGAGTCTCCAAATTTGCCGATGTTCTATGATTTATATTTTTTATACTTTCTGTTTTGGATATATTTTAGAAAATATAAATGCTATAATATACTTGAATTAAAAAAAAAATTCTACCGTGTAGTTTTTTATTTACAGGCTTTTGTTTAGCAATGACTTGAAATTCTGAACGTAATTATATAAGATCATATTACGCGCATTCGTGTCATCTAACAATGTCGATGATTTTCTAGAACTTGTTTTTTTGTGCCACCTCCAGATTTTGGATATGTTATAGACAATAAGAATGTCTACAATATGGCCAAGTTTAAAAAAATTCTACAGTGTAGTTTTTTAGCTATAGAGCTGTTCGTCGAATGTGGTGCCAGCTTCACAGTTAATACCAGAGTACATTCTCAAGGAATATTATTCCTTTTATATTTTGTGCCACCTCCAGATTTTGGATATGTTATAGACAATAAGAATATCTACAATATGGCCAAGTTTAAAAAATTCTACCGTGTAGTTTTTTATTTACAGGCCTTTGTTTGGCAATGACTTGAAATTCTCAACTTAATTATATAAGATCATTTTACGCGCATTCATGTGTCATCCGACTTTGTCGATGATTTTCTACAACATATTTTCTTGCCACCTCCAGATTTTGGATATATTTTAGACAATATAATTATCTATATTCTGGCCAAGTTTAAAAAAATTCTACCGTGTAGTTTTTAAATTATAGGCTAATTAAGAGAAATGGAAAGTACACTGTAATATAATCTTAGTGTTTTCTTCAATTTCTTGACTTTTATACATTTTTTGTGATTGTTAAGGACAGTAAAATAGTAATAAATAGTTAAGAATTGTTTTTTACTGTTGTATTTGATGAAAACGTGTTTTAAAGACGATTTTTCGATTTATCATTTTGAATGTTAAATTTTAGTTGAATGTGGTGATGAATGTTGTGATAAGTGTTGTGTTGAATGTGGTGCTCAATGTGGTGCCAATTTCACGGTAGTATATACACAAGCCACTTTTATAGCTTACATGCAAGTATTGAGCTGGTTATTTAAATTCTGTTTTAATAGAACGGTTTCACATCCATAAAGGCCATTATCGCACAGTTTCCGCACTACATATAGAATTTAAATATCGATTAATATTATTTTTTAAAAAATACGAAAGTTTATTTGTGTGGAAACTGTGCTGTAATGCCGTTTGCTTCGTTTGCTTGTCCTCCGAATTCAACCTTAACAACAGTTTCTACTGATGTGAAACCAGTCTATTGCCATGAATAACATTGAATAATAAAAAAACATGGTTGTGTAATTTAGATTCATTATGGTTAGAAAATAATCCATTGTAAAATTAGCCTTTCGTGTATAGAATTTAGGTGTAGTTTCTTTGACGTAAAGTATGAACTTATAGTTTCCTAATTATTTGTACATAATTTCCCTTTTTTAAGTCACACTTGGGACAAAAATTGCCAGTGCTATGAAAAACAAACACCCTCATATTGATCACCAATATGATGTGTGGCATTTGTCTAAATCTGTCACAAAAAAACTAACAAAGGCTAACATTAAGGGAAATGATGACTTGACCCATTGGATTAAGTCCATTTCTAATCATCTTTGGTGGTGCTCTGCAAGTTGTAATAAGAATGCAGAAGAATTGGTGGAAAATTGGAAGTCTATCCTTAACCAACAACAAGCATTTCTGGAGAGGGAACACATATTTTCATAAATGTTGCTACCATCAATTAACAGAAAGACAAACAAGCAGAAGTGGCTATCTCTTACTTCACAAGCATATATTTCTGCAGAGAAGGTGATTTGTGACAAGAGCTTCTAAAAGACCTGCGGAAGCTATCTGAGTTTTGTCACACAGGAGAGTTGGAGGTTTACCATTCCCTTTACTGAAATACTGCCCAAAGCGAGAGCATTTTTCATTTCCTGGAATGGTAGCCCGCACTCAGCAGCATTTGATCACAACAACAATATTAACTGTGATAAAGCAGTCATTAAGTCAGGGACAAACAAAGGGCAAGACCGTTACAAAATGATTTTTGCTAAAACAAAGAAGAAATGGGTTGTAAAAGCAATGAAAGAAAGAAAGAGTACCAGTACGTTGATGTACTACTTGCCGAGGTTGTGAATGCAAGCAAAACTGAGGAGATTGAACTTGTACATCATGGCGAGAATCTTCCAAAGAACAATTCTAAATCATGTCCACCCAGGAAAGAAGTACTTGTAAAGGAGCATCAGTCTAGACTTGCATAAAATGTCAGTGGTGATGTTAGCTATGGCAATAGGTTTTGCCATGCATATATAATATGATGTTGAATCAGTGAAGACAACTTTTGTACATTCATTCTTAAATATTAATATATTTTTGAAAAGCTTAGAACCTGCTCTATTATGTGACACTCTGTAATTTTCATTTAATATCTTAAATAAAATTTTAGAGTGAAATTTAGAACTTTTTCAGTTATTGCACATTTTTATTGCAAACATTTGAAAGAAATTTGGCTTTAATTCATTAAATATAAACAGCATTAAAAATTCAAGAGTGTCACATAATAGAGGATAATATAGTTAGTAAGTATGCCAAATATCAAGCCTCTGCATCAAATATTTACAAATTTATAGTGTCACAAAAATCACTGACTATTGCAAAAATGCGAAAATAAGAAAATCCAATGTAAAGTTTCTTCCAGTTCATCTGCAACTTAGAAGGCTTAGAAGCTACCTGCTTCATAAGTTACCCCTTCCAAGTCCTCAGCATTGTCCAGAAACTTCTTTCTGAGATGCCTCAGTGACTTCCTCCTACTTTTCACTTGCTTGGAATTCTTTTGGACTGATAACTTTATCCTGGCTTTGTCTGAGTCTTGCGCACCTTTGGTCGTAAATACCCCAAGCATTATGTCTAAATCATGAAAAGTGTTAATATAGGAGATGTCTCCATCATTAAACTTCAACACTGCCAAATATGTTGCTTAAGAGACAGTTTCTTGCTCAACATATGTAGTCTTGGAGATCTGTCCCAAATGAGTCCATTCAAACACTCGTTCGGATTTTGTGTCAATCCATGTGTACATTTCTTCAACAAATCTGGGTCAGTTAGATCATTGAATATTGGCTCAATCAGTTCTACTACGGGCCCAGGAATACCAGTCTTGTGTTGGTAGGTGGTGTGATCTCTTAGGTAGCCACACCAACTATCTTTCCTTTGGACACAGGTGATGCTGAGGATTCTTCTCTGAGGAGGCAACATGGAAAAGAGATGCCCTACAGCCCTAGCAGCTTTGGCCATTTCTTCAACACTATTAAGGTTTCCCCTTATTGCCAAACCATAATAGTTTTGAGGAATGTCCATCTTTTGCGTAGTTAGCCGACCTTTTCCAGACAAACCTTAACCATCCGAAAGTTTTCTCCCTTTGTTCGAGGTTTTAGTTTCCGCAGTCTGCTTCCGAATGTGAGTTCATTGCTTTCCCACAGTCCGTACATTTCAGAATCTCATTTAAGACTATAAATATAACTGATAAGTCCATAAATATAGTACCTTCTGTTATAATGTTGGAATGGACAGCAAAATTTGCTGTCTGATTACCAATTTTCGCACCGGAAGATCCAACCTCTTTGTCACAAGGTTCGCCATTTTTGCATTTCTTTGCCATTTTTTCTGACCCGTTTTCTATCTCTATTTTGAGGATTTCCCATCATTTAACTTCAAATCCCCCAACAAAATAACAAAAATAATAGTTGGGAAATAAAAGCAGCAAATTTAGCACTTCAAATGTTACAAAAAACTAAGAAATTTGTAGACAATTTCGCCAGAAATGCAAACGCATCGATCTCGAGACAGACAAAAGACTTTCATTGCCATGGCTCCCCAAAGGAACCAATTAGAATACAGTTATGTCAAAAGACTCTGAACTCAATGCACCAAAAGGAGAAACAAAAATGACAATTTTTTGACCAATATCTCGACCAAATTTTGAGGAAATCTCAACCTAAATGCGTTGCTAGGCCGTTGCTATGGAGTAAATTTTTAAACAACATAGCTTTGAAAGCTTTTGGCCGTCGTTTATAATGTTTTTCAAAATATAAACGACAAAGTCTTAAAATTAAATAGTTAAGGCTCCCAAAAAATTAATAATTTTTTTTTGAAAATTTGGTCAAAATACAGTTTATAAGAGGTGATGACCACCTTAACATAGCAAAACCAGCATACTACTATGCCTTCAATTTAAAATTCCTCTCCAGGGCCAGGTGGAGGAAATGTTTCTCTAATGCGAGTAACTGCACATGATGGCAAGACGACTCTTACTTCTCTACCCAAGATACCCCAGCACCATCTTGTCAACTGTCTATATGCAATATGGCGGTACAGTTTGTCTTCGGGCCCATCTGTGACATTGCATGCCTAATTATATTTATATACTGTAATGACGTAGGTAATTCCTTATCTAATATGCATGTGTAATGTATATAAGAACCTGTGTTTATCTAAGCCCGGCATTAAATACAAGACTTATTACATGGTGGTAGCGATTAGGAAAAGTTTGTTCTTATCGAATGGCAGAAGGATTTTCCAGGCCAACACGACTCTCGTTTGAAGGCAGTGTTGCTGAGAATTGGCGTCGCTTCAAACAGAACTATGAAATATACATTGTTGCTGCAGGACATAGTCGGAAATCAAAGAAAGAAAAGTCATGCATCCTCTTAAATCTAGCTGGCGAAGATGCGGTTGAAAGATATAATTCTTTTACCTACAACGAAGAGGAAGACAAAGACGATCCAGAAATTCTAGTGAAGAAATTTGAAGAAATTTGTATGCCGCTTAAGAATTTAACATTCGAAAGACATTTATTTCATACAAGGAAGCAAAGTCCGTCAGAGTCGATTAGTTCCTTTGTTACAGATTTGAAAACATTGCTCGAAAGTGCGAGTTTGGTGACCTCGAGAGCGAACTTATTAAAGATCGTATTGTGTGTGGGATTAACAGTGATGCAGTAAGAAAGATTCTCCTTCGCGAAACAAGGTTAACTTTAGACAAGGCTCTAAACATATGCAGTGCAAACGAATTGTCGGAACAACAAGTAAAAGATCTTACTAATTATCAAGATGTCGATGAACTGAAGGCTAGGAAGAATTTGAAAACCTCAAGAGGAAGTTACACAAACTTAAGTCAAACAAAAGAAGATAAACATCGAGGACAAAGATTCGTATTAAAGAACAATTGCAGAAACTGTAGAGGAAAACATCTTCCAAAGCAATGCCCAGCTTTTGGAAAAATTTGCCACAAATGTCATAAGAAAAACCACTTTGCTCGGGTGTGTCTAACGTCTACACAAAAGTTACAAAGAACAGTTCATGAAGTTAGTGATGAAGAATTGTTTAATGGTGCTGTTAATGCAATCAAACCTACGCAACAACGCACAAGCTCGAAAGTCGACTATCGAATGAATATTGAAGCTGTAGAAAAAAGCAATGACGAGTGGTATTCTGAACTCAAATTTGGCAGACATTTGGTGAACGTGAAGGTGGATACAGGCGCAAAATGTAATGTGCTTTCTAAAAAATTGTTCGACAAAGTCAAAGAAGCTGAGCAACAAGTTACCAAAACAAATACAAAGCTAATGTCGTATAGTGGAGATTCAGTTCAAACCTTGGGACAAGCAGTGATGACGTGTTCTTACAAAGACAAACGATACAATCTTCTTTTCTATATAGCGACACACGATGTAAAGCCTATTCTTGGTTTACCTGATTGCGAGCGTTTGGGTATGGTGAAAAGAATTAAAGATGTCAAACCTATTTTCACTAGGGACGATATTCTCAATAAATATGCAGATCTCTTCGATGGCAAACTAGGATGTTTACCCATTAAACATCATATCAGTGTCAATCCAAATGTAAAACCTACAATTCATCCTCCTCGACGCGTTCCAGTAGCTATGAGAACGAAAATTAAAGAAGAGTTAGAACGAATGCAACAGATGGGTGTCATCGATCCTGTAGAAAAACCTACGGAATGGGTTTCGTCAATGGTAACAGTGGAAAAACCAAACAAGTTACGAATATGTATTGATCCTAGACATCTTAATGAAGCCATTCAGCGAGAACATTACCCTCTCTTAACAATAGAAGAAGTCGTATCAAGACTACCTGGAGCTAAAATTTTCTCCGTATTCGATGCAGCCTCTGGATTTTGGCAGATACCTCTAGATGAAGATTCCAGTTATCTTACAACATTCAATACGCCTTTGGAGATACAAATTCAATCGTCTCCCATTTGGTATATCCTCAGCACCTGAAGTGTTCCAAAAAGCTATGCACCAGCTGTTTGACAGAATAGACGGTTGTGAAATTATAATGGATGATATCTTAGTATGGGGAACAACAGAGAAAGAGCATGATGAAAGAATTATCAATGTGCTGAATAGAGCTCTTGAAATCAATCTCAAATTAAAGAAAGAAAAAACAAAAGTTAAAGTAACAAATGTAGATTACATGGGACACAAAATAACGTCAGATGGTGTTCAATCCGATCCTGAAAAGATTAAAGCAATATTAAACATGCCAATTCCTAAAGATAAGAAAGATCTTCAAAGATTTCTTGGAATGGTTCAATATTTGGCCAAGTTTATTCCTTATCTTTCAGAAATGGCAAGTCCCCTTAGATATATGTTAAAGAAGGAAAATGATTGGTGCTGGTTAGATCAACATGAAATAGTGTATGACAGAATCAAGAAATCCTGTGGAGAGCAACCTGTATTGCAATTCTACGATGTATCAAAAGATGTGACATTGTCCGTAGATGCAAGTATGTCAGGTTTAGGAGCAGTTTGTCCTCAAAATGGCAAACCAGTTGCTTATGCATCGAGAGCTTTAACTGAATGCCAAAAGAAATATGCACAAATTGAAAAAGAGTTACTTGCAATTGTATTTGGATGTGAAAATTTTCATGATTACATCTATGGCAGAGATGTCAATGTTGAAACAGATCATAAGCCCTTAGAGCAGATTTTCACGAAGCCCCTTCATCAATCTCGATTGAGACTCCAGAAAATGATGCTGAAACTTCAAAAGTACAGTTTGAAAGTCTCGTTTAAGAAAGGAGCAGAACTTTATCTCACGGATCAATTAAGTCGAGCGTATATCCAAGAAGAATCAGATGATCACTTAGAAGATTTTGAGATAAATGTTGTCTTGCCAGTAAGTGAAGAGAAAATGAACCAATTGAAGGAAGAGACAAAGAAAGATAAAGTAATGAAAATGCTACGACAGTACGTAGAAAATGGATGGCCAGATCTACGCAGTAAAGTCGATTTGGATGTTTTGAATTACTGGGACTTTAAAGAGACTCTTTCAGTACAAGATGACCTACTGTTTAAAGGAGATCGAGTAATAATTCCTGAGTCATTAAGAACTGATATGTTGAAAGCTATACATCAAGGACATTTTGGATCTGAATCATGCAAACGTAGGGCTCGAGAGTGTTTATATTGGCCAAAGATGAGCTTAGAAATAGAAGCAGAAGTTAGAAAGTGTGAAATCTGCAATGCCCATAAGAGACATCAACAAAAGGAGCCTCTACAATCACATACTGTACCACATCGACCGTGGAGTAAAGTTGGAGCAGACCTGTTCGAATTGAATGGTAGAAGCTATCTTCTTATGGTACACTACTACAGTGTATTCTTTGAAATTGGTTACTTGTTAAATACAAAATCAAAGACAGTTATCACAAAGATGAAATCTCAAATTGTGAGGTACGGAATTTTCGAAGATCTTATAACAGATAATGGTCCACAATTCAGGAGTAGAGAATTTTGTGCATTCTCGTCACAGTATGGATTTAAACATACAACAAGTTCACCTGGATATCCAAAAAGTAACGGCATGTCAGAGCGTGCTGTACAGACAGCAAAAGCAATCATAAAGAAAGCAAAATATGATAACACCTATCCTTATTTAGGACTCCTTAATTATAGAAATACACCTAGAGATGAAATTATTGGCAGTCCAGCTCAACGACTAATGGGACGAAGAACTAGGACATTACTACCAATATCAGAGAAGTTACTTGACTTTCAACCATTAAACCCTGTTAATGTTCAAGAAAAATTGGAAATGTATCACAAGAAACAAAAAGAGTTTAATGATCGCATTGCAAAAACACTTCCACCATTAAAAGAAGGAGATAAGGTACGTATAAAAACAGAAAAAGGCTTCCAAAAGAAAGGAATCGTGGAAAAATCGTTACTTGAGCCAAGATCGTATTTGGTTACGTCTGATGGTACCTACTATAGAAGGAATAGAAATCATTTATTAAAGATTAATGAAGAATCAAGAAGTCAAGATACAGGTAAGTCTTATAGTGAGAACAATAGATCTTATAAAAATTGTAATGAAAGTACGAACAACAGTAATATAAGAACTCGGTATGGACGTCTAATCAAAAAACCTAATAGATTTTCTTATTAGATAAAAAAAAAACCGAAGAAAAAGAGATGTGACATTGCATGCCGAATTATATTTATATACTGTAATGACGTAGGTAATTCCTTATCTAATATGCATGTGTAATGTATATAAGAACCTGTGTTTATCTAAGCCCGGCATTAAATACAAGACTTATTACACCATCAAATGCTACCTCATATTGCTGCTTGTACTGGTACCAAGCTGTTTGTAAAATCCACCTGTTAAGACAAACAGGCTCAAAACTAGGATGTTGTGTTATACAAAGGGACTTCAGTGGTCTCATTCGTTTCTACTGCCTCTACATTTTTGTCACAAATATTGGAAATCTTTTTGCAGCATAAACATTCCTCGTTATTGTCCATTATTTGGCAGTTACCACATTGACACCTGAATATGTTAAAAGAAAGGATCTTGAAAAGTAAATGTCAAAATTTCAATAAAAATTGTATCTTACAATAAAAACTTTAAAATCTGAAGTATTATCTGAAAAGCGGCAGACGTTCTTTCGAGATCGAAACAATGGTGTAGAATAATATAACATTTTATCACTCACCATTCAAGATTGTCGCGCCGAGATTCATCCTCAATATACACAAATTCCTGTTCTTCGTTGTCCTCAAACTGGTGAGCTTCTTCGTGTTCATCAGCCGGCCATTTGGGCTCAAACTGATATGGCCGAATATTGTTTGCTGGATTGTCTGTTGTAAATTGTCATGTTATGTTATGTAGTGGGTGACTGTGTCATACTTTTGATTATAATATATAACGGATATTATGTTGATGTAAAATAGTATAGTCATGGTGAGAGAACACTTCCTCACCGCAATGCGTCATTGCGGAAGGATGTAGGTAGAAACGGGATGGCAAAGTTGTGCGTCATATGCAAACGCCCAAAAACCACTTCCGAATAATTACACATAAATGTAGCTTGCAAGCGTTGGTACGGGAGTTCGGAAAAGTTGTAGTTATTGGTGTATGAACTGGTCATACAAATTTGATGAATTAAGAGTTGTATTGCAGAAGGCAATAAATTTCGAAAACGCAGTTCTAGGATTGACGGTTGTCCGTAATCTTAACGAGATCAAATTTAATCATTCCGTATCGCGAAGAACCAACGCTTGGAACGTAAAATCGTGCACAACACTGTAAATATCTTATTGAAGTGTTAAAATTATATATTCAAAATACAGTCCCATCGTTAGTGTGAAGTTTTAGAACAGTGAACCAGCACTTCGCGCAGATTGTGCGAAACGTGGTCCTTCGAGCCGGATCTAGTAGCAGAATTCAAGAAGAACACAGAAATAGAATACAGGGTTGTTCACGATGTCAGAGCTGACAAGAAAGCGACAGTCGAGGAATGGGCACAAATCGTACGCCACAAAGTTGTGAACAAGGTGAGAAGTATGGTAAACGATAATGCGCCAGTAAGGAAAGTCGAACTGGAACAAATGCGGCTTGTACTCGTACAGAAATTAGATACAATTTCGAAGTTGGACGATGAGATTCAGAGCTTGTTGGAAAAGGATGAAGATATTGCAGCAGGTATTGATGGCTCATCGGAATACGGCTGCGAAGTTTTGGGCGCGTTGGCCGAAATCAACGAAGCACGGAGCACGATAGAGACAAACAAGCGAAATGAGGAACTCGCCAATACATCGGCAAGTACGGTATCTAGTGGAGCACGCTGTAGAGTAAAGCTGCCTAAACTAGAGGTGAAAAAGTTCTCGGGCAAGATACAAGATTGGCGTGAATTCTGGGACTCTTTCGAAAGTTCAATTCACAACAATGACGGATTGTTTGAGGTCGACAAATTCACCTATCTGAGGGGACTGGTGGAGGAGCCGGCCAAGTCAGCAATTTCGGGATTTGCTCTGACTTCGATCAACTATGCAGAAGCCTTGAAGGTGTTAGAACGGAGATACGGGAGCAAAGTGATGGTGCAAAGGGCACACGTAAATGAAATGATGAACCTAAAGCCCGTGTACAACGAGAATGATACGATGAGGCTGCGCAAGTTCTTTGACGCCGTGGAAACGAATTATCGAGGACTCGAGGCGCTCGGTGTAAAGGAGGAGACGTACTGCGAGATAGTCGTGCCCAATCTTCTAACAAAAATACCGGACTCATTTAAACTGACGATTACCAGGGGAAGAGACTACTTAGAGTGGGGCATGAAAGATTTTGTCGACGCGTTGCAAGTCGAAGTGGAGCTGCGGGAATGCCACAAATTAGCAGTTGGGGAGAAGGAAGAAGATCAACGAAGAAGACGACGGGAACCAGGAACAGCTAGCGGGTTGTTTGCCAGCCGCAACAACCGGTGTTTTGTGCTTTCTGCTGTGGGGAGCACAAACACGAGGAGTGCAAAGAAGATAACAGGACGGACAGAACGTATGCAACTTCTTCGTAAGTTTAAAAGATGTTTTATTTGTCTAAATAAAGGTCATTTAGCTAAAGATTGTCGTGCACGTATTAAATGTAGTGTATGTGGGGAGGGTCATCATGTTTCTATATGTGATAAGATTAATAATAACCAGAAGGGAGGAGGTTATCAGAAAGATGAAAGAAATAGTCGGGAAGAAAGTGGACAGGTTAGTGTAGGTAATGTCCATGTTAGTACTAGAAGCAGAGTGGCTCTTCAAACTGCGCAGGGAGTACTTATGGGAAAGACAAGAGTGCGAGTGCTTTTCGACTCAGGAAGTCAGCAATCCTTTTTGACGTGTGACGCGAAAGGTGTGCCAAGCTTAACATTGCTAGGCGAGAATGGTTGGAAGTTAATGCATTCGGTGGGGAGTAACAAGGTAGAATGACAGAGGTTGTTAATTGCGAG